CAGAGGGAGAGAGACTAGAGGGAGAGAGAGACCAGAGGGAGAGACACCAGAGGGAGAGAGAGACCAGAAGGAGAGAGACCAGAGGGAGAGGGACTAGAGGGAGAGAGACCAGAGGGAGAGGAAGAGAGACTAGAGGGAGAGAGACCAGAGGGAGAGAGACTAGAGGGAGAGAGAGACCAGAAGGAGAGAGACCAGAGGGAGAGAGACCAGAGAGAGAGACTAGAGGGAGAGAGACCAGAGGGAGAGAGACTAGAGGGAGAGAGAGACCAGAAGGAGAGAGACCAGAGGGAGAGGGACTAGAGGGGGAGAGACCAGAGAGAGAGAGACTAGAGGGAGAGAGACCAGAGGGAGAGAGACTAGAGGGAGAGAGACCAGAGGGAGAGGAAGAGAGACTAGAGGGAGAGAGACTAGAGGGAGAGAGAGACCAGAAGGAGAGAGACCAGAGGGAGAGAGACCAGAGAGAGAGACTAGAGGGAGAGAGACCAGAGGGAGAGAGACTAGAGGGAGAGAGAGACCAGAAGGAGAGAGACCAGAGGGAGAGGGACTAGAGGGGGAGAGACCAGAGAGAGAGAGACTAGAGGGAGAGAGACCAGAGGGAGAGAGACTAGAGGGAGAGAGACCAGAGGGAGAGGAAGAGAGACTAGAGGGAGAGAGACCAGAGGGAGAGAGACTAGAGGGAGAGAGAGACCAGAAGGAGAGAGACCAGAGGGAGAGAGACCAGAGAGAGAGACTAGAGGGAGAGAGACCAGAGGGAGAGGAAGAGAGACTAGAGGGAGAGAGACCAGAGGGAGAGAGACTAGAGGGAGAGAGAGACCAGAGGGAGAGACACCAGAGGGAGAGAGAGACCAGAAGGAGAGAGACCAGAGGGAGAGGGACTAGAGGGAGAGAGACCAGAGGGAGAGGAAGAGAGACTAGAGGGAGAGAGACCAGAGGGAGAGAGACTAGAGGGAGAGAGAGACCAGAAGGAGAGAGACCAGAGGGAGAGAGACCAGAGAGAGAGACTAGAGGGAGAGAGACCAGAGGGAGAGAGACTAGAGGGAGAGAGAGACCAGAAGGAGAGAGACCAGAGGGAGAGGGACTAGAGGGGGAGAGACCAGAGAGAGAGAGACTAGAGGGAGAGAGACCAGAGGGAGAGAGACTAGAGGGAGAGAGACCAGAGGGAGAGGAAGAGAGACTAGAGGGAGAGAGACTAGAGGGAGAGAGACTAGAGGGGGAGAGACCAGAGAGAGAGACCAGAGAGAGAGACCAGAGAGAGAGAGAGACCAGAGAGAGAGAGAGAGAGAGAGAGACCAGAGAGAGAGAGAGAGAAACCAGAGAGAGAAACCAGAGAGAGACCAGAGAGAGAGAGACTAGAGGGAGAGAGACCAGAGGGAGAGAGAGACCAGAAAGAGAGAGACCAGAGGGAGAGGAAGAGAGACTAGAGGGAGAGAGACCAGAGGGAGAGAGACTAGAGGGAGAGAGACCAGAGGGAGAGGAAGAGAGACTAGAGGGAGAGAGACCAGAGGGAGAGAGACTAGAGGGAGAGAGAGACCAGAGGGAGAGACACCAGAGGGAGAGAGAGACCAGAAGGAGAGAGACCAGAAGGAGAGGGACTAGAGGGGGAGAGACCAGAGAGAGAGAGAGACCAGAGGGAGAGACACCAGAGGGAGAGAGAGACCAGAAGGAGAGAGACCAGAGGGAGAGGGACTAGAGGGAGAGAGACCAGAGGGAGAGGAAGAGAGACTAGAGGGAGAGAGACCAGAGGGAGAGAGACTAGAGGGAGAGAGAGACCAGAAGGAGAGAGACCAGAGGGAGAGAGACCAGAGAGAGAGACTAGAGGGAGAGAGACCAGAGAGAGAGACTAGAGGAGAGAGACCAGAGGGAGAGGAAGAGAGACTAGAGGGAGAGAGACCAGAGGGAGAGAGACTAGAGGGAGAGAGAGACCAGAGGGAGAGAGACAGAGGGGGAGAGAGTGAGGACCAGAGGGAGAGAGGGAGGACCAGAGGGAGAGAGGGAGGACCAGAGGGAGAGAGTGAGGACCAGAGGGAGAGAGTGAGGACCAGAGGGAGAGAGGGAGGACCAGAGGGAGAGAGGGAGGACCAGAGGGAGAGAGGGAGGACCAGAGGGAGAGAGTGAGGACCAGAGGGAGAGAGGGAGGACCACAGGGAGAGAGGGAGGACCAGGAGGGAGGATCAGAGGGAGGACCAGAGGAAGGAGACAGAGGGAGGACCAGAGGGAGGATCAGAGGGAGGATCAGAGGGAGAGACCAGAGGAAGAGATCAGAGGGAGGACCAGAGGGAGGACCAGAGGGAGGATCAGAGGGAGGACCAGAGGGAGGACCAGAGGGAGAGACCAGAGGGAGGAGACAGAGGGAGGATCAGAGGGAGGACCAGAGGGAGGACCAGAGGAGGACCAGAGGAGATCCAGAGGGAGGACCAGAGGAAGGATCAGAGGAGGACCAGAGGGAGAGATCAGAGGGAGGACCAGAGGGAGGATCAGAGACCAGAGGGAGGATCAGGAGGGAGGACCAGAGGATCAGAGGGAGGACCAGAGGGAGGACCAGAGGGAGGATCAGAGGGAGGACCAGAGGGAGGATCAGAGGACCAGAGGGAGGACCAGAGGGAGGATCAGAGGGAGGACCAGAGGGAGGACCAGAGGGAGGACCAGAGGGAGGACCAGAGGGAGGATCAGAGGGAGGACCAGCGGGAGGACCAGAGGGAGGATCAGAGGGAGGATCAGAGGGAGGACCAGAGGGAGGATCAGAGGGAGGACCAGAGGGAGGACCAGAGGGAGGATCAGAGGGAGGATCAGAGGGAGGATCAGAGGGAGGATCAGAGGACCAGAGGGAGGATTAGAGGACCAGAGGGAGGATCAGAGGGAGGACCAGAGGGAGGATCAGAGGGAGGACCAGAGGGAGGATCAGAGGGAGGACCAGAGGAAGGATCAGAGGGAGGACCAGAGGGAGGATCAGAGGACCAGAGGGAGGATCAGAGGGAGGATCAGAGGGAGGACCAGAGGGAGGATCAGAGGGAGGACCAGCGGGAGGACCAGAGGGAGGACCAGAGGGAGGATCAGAGGACCAGAGGGAGGATCAGAGGACCAGAGGGAGGATCAGAGGGAGGATCAGAGGGAGGATCAGAGGGAGGACCAGAGGGAGGATCAGAGGGAGGACCAGCGGGAGGACCAGAGGGAGGATCAGAGGGAGGATCAGAGGGAGGACCAGAGGGAGGATCAGAGGGAGGACCAGAGGGAGGATCAGAGGGAGGACCAGAGGGAGGATCAGAGGGAGGACCAGAGGGAGGACCAGAGGGAGGATCAGAGGGAGGACCAGAGGGAGGATCAGAGGGAGGACCAGAGGGAGGATCAGAGGGAGGACCAGAGGGAGGACCAGAGGGAGGACCAGAGGGAGGATCAGAGGACCAGAGGGAGGATCAGAGGGAGGACCAGCGGGAGGACCAGAGGGAGGACCAGAGGGAGGACCAGCGGGAGGACCAGAGGGAGGACCAGAGGGAGGACCAGAGGGAGGACCAGCGGGAGGACCAGCGGGAGGACCAGAGGGAGGACCAGAGGGAGGACCAGAGGGAGGACCAGCGGGAGGACCAGCGGGAGGACCAGAGGAGGGGTTAGGGTCTGGAGCTTTGTTTCTTCCATAATTGTTGAATGAAGTAATTTTTGGGATGGATCAAAAGACCTTCTGTTGTTGATCAAAACAAAAGGGACATGATAATAATGAGTCTGAACTCAGAGTATGAGCGAAACATTACAACCTGAGAGCAAATGATGCTTTGCAATTTTACATGTTTTGGTGGTAAGAGAAACCGGAGCACCCGGAGGAAACCTACTCTATGTTAGTGTTTCTCAAACTTTACTTTAATGTTTAACCAACTCTGACCTCTCTGTCACAGTATAAAGCCATGCGTCAGACCAAGGACAGAACCAGGTTTAGGTTCTGACAGAACCAGATTCAGGCTCTGACAGAACCAGGCTTAGGTTCTGACAGAACCAGATTCAGGCTCTGACAGAACCAGGCTTAGGTTCTGACAGAACCAGATTCAGGTTCTGACAGAACCAGGCTTAGGTTCTGACAAAACCAGGTTAGGCTCTGACAGAACCAGGCTTAGGTTCTGACAAAACCAGGTTTAGGCTCTGACAGAACCAGGCTTAGGTTCTGACAGAACCAGATTCAGGCTCTGACAGAACCAGGCTTAGGTTCTGACAGAACCAGGTTTAGGCTCTGACAGAACCAGGTTTAGGTTCTGACAGAACCAGGCTTAGGTTCTGACAGAACCAGATTCAGGTTCTGACAGAACCAGGCTTAGGTTCTGACAGAACCAGGTTTAGGCTCTGACAGAACCAGGTTTAGGCTCTGACAGAACCAGGTTTAGGCTCTGACAGAACCAGGTTTAGGTTCTGACAGAACCAGGCTTAGGTTCTGACAGAACCAGATTCAGGTTTACAGAACCAGGCTTAGGTTCTGACAGAACCAGGTTTAGGCTCTGACAGAACCAGGTTTAGGCTCTGACAGAACCAGGTTTAGGCTCTGACAGAACCAGGTTTAGGTTCTGACAGAACCAGGCTTAGGTTCTGTGGAAAAGAACTTTCACCAAACCTGAAATAAACCAAAGTAGTCCATGCTTTATGTGTTCAGACACATGCTCAGGGTCAGAACAAAACCACACCATTCAGCCATACTGTTAGCATGTTAGCTATGCTGTTAGCATGTTAGCTATGCTGTTAGCATGTTAGCCATACTGTTAGCATGTTAGCTATGCTGTTAGCATGTTAGCTATGCTGTTAGCATGTTAGCCATACTGTTAGCATGTTAGCTATGCTGTTAGCATGTTAGCTATGCTGTTAGCATGTTAGCCATACTGTTAGCATGTTAGCTATGCTGTTAGCATGTTAGCTATGCTGTTAGCATGTTAGTTATGCTGTTAGCATGTTAGCCATACTGTTAGCATGTTAACTATGCTGTTAGCATGTTAACTATGCTGTTAGCATGTTAGCCATACTGTTAGCATGTTAGCTATGCTGTTAGCATGTTAGCCATACTGTTAGCATGTTAGCCATACTGTTAGCATGTTAGCCATACTGTTAGCATGTTAGCCATACTGTTAGCATGTTAACTATGCTGTTAGCATGTTAGCCATACTGTTAGCATGTTAGCCATACTGTTAGCATGTTAGCCATACTGTTAGCATGTTAGCCATACTGTTAGCATGTTAGCCATACTGTTAGCATGTTAGCCATACTGTTAGCATGTTAGCCATACTGTTAGCATGTTAGCTATGCTGTTAGCATGTTAGCCATACTGTTAGCATGTTAGCTATGCTTTTAGCATGTTAGTTATGCTGTTAGCATGTTAACCATACTGTTAGCATGTTAGCTATGCTGTTAGCATGTTAGCCATACTGTTAGCATGTTAGCCATACTGTTAGCATGTTAGCCATACTGTTAGCATGTTAGCCATACTGTTAGCATGTTAGCTATGCTGTTAGCATGTTAGCCATACTGTTAGCATGTTAGCTATGCTTTTAGCATGTTAGCTATGCTGTTAGCATGTTAACCATACTGTTAGCATGTTAGCTATGCTGTTAGCATGTTAGCCATACTGTTAGCATGTTAGCCATACTGTTAGCATGTTAGCCATACTGTTAGCATGTTAGCTATGCTGTTAGCATGTTAGCCATACTGTTAGCATGTTAGCTATGCTTTTAGCATGTTAGCTATGCTGTTAGCATGTTAACCATACTGTTAGCATGTTAGCTATACTGTTAGCATGTTAGCCATACTGTTAGCATGTTAGCTATGCTTTTAGCATGTTAGCCATACTGTTAGCATGTTAGCTATGCTGTTAGCATGTTAACCATACTGTTAGCATGTTAGCTATACTGTTAGCATGTTAGCCATACTGTTAGCATGTTAGCTATGCTGTTAGCATGTTAGCTATACTGTTAGCATGTTAGCCATACTGTTAGCATGTTAGCCATACTGTTAGCATGTTAGCCAGACTGTTAGCATGTTAGCCATACTGTTAGCGTGTTAGCCATACTGTTAGCGTGTTAGCCATACTGTTAGCATGTTAGCCATACTGTTAGCATGTTAGCCAGACTGTTAGCATGTTAGCCATACTGTTAGCGTGTTAGCCATACTGTTAGCGTGTTAGCCATACTGTTAGCATGTCAGCTTGTTAGCGTGTTAGCCATACTGTTAGCATGTTAGCTTGTTAGCTAGCAGCAGACGTGGTGTGGCTTTGAGCAGAGATCATTGATCACATTCACAAGTCAAAGAAAGAGTCAAAGAGAAGGAACTCATCCTGCAGTCAGTGAGACAGAGACAAGGACTTTAGGAGGTGAAGGAGGTGAAGAGGAGGCGCAGAGGAGGTGAAGAGGAGGCGCAGAGGAGGTGAAGAGGAGGCGCAGAGGAGGTGAAGAGGAGGCGCAGAGGAGGTGAAGAGGAGGCGCAGTGGAGGTGAAGAGGAGGTGAAGAGGAGGTGAAGAGGAGGCGCAGTGGAGGTGAAGAGGAGGTGAAGAGGAGGTGAAGAGGAGGCGCAGTGGAGGTGAAGAGGAGGTGAAGAGGAGGATCATGGTCTGAGGTCAGAGAGATGGACCAGGTGAGGGGGGGTGTAGAGACTGGTGCAGGAGGAGGAAGAATTGTTGACAATAATAAATAAATACAATCTCAGAATCCTCCTTAAGGACCTCACATGGTTCAGTACGGACCTCACATGGTTCAGTACAGACCTCTCATGGTTCAGTACAGACCTCTCATGGTTCAGTACGGACCTCACATGGTTCAGTACAAACCTCACATGGTTCAGTACGGACCTCTCATGGTTCAGTACAGACCTCTCATGGTTCAGTACAAACCTCACATGGTTCAGTACGGACCTCTCATGGTTCAGTACGGACCTCTCATGGTTCAGTACAGACCTCTCATGGTTCAGTACAGACCTCTCATGGTTCAGTACAGACCTCTCATGGTTCAGTACAGACCTCTCATGGTTCAGTACAAACCTCACATGGTTCAGTACGGACCTCTCATGGTTCAGTACAGACCTCTCATGGTTCAGTACGGACCTCACATGGTTCAGTACGGACCTCTCATGGTTCAGTACAGACCTCTCATGGTTCAGTACGGACCTCTCATGGTTCAGTACAGACCTCTCATGGTTCAGTACAGACCTCACATGGTTCAGTACAGACCTCTCATGGTTCAGTACGGACCTCACATGGTTCAGTACAGACCTCTCATGGTTCAGTACAGACCTCTCATGGTTCAGTACGGACCTCACATGGTTCAGTACAGACCTCTCATGGTTCAGTACAGACCTCTCATGGTTCAGTACGGACCTCTCATGGTTCAGTACAGACCTCACATGGTTCAGTACAGACCTCACATGGTTCAGTACGGACCTCACATGGTTCAGTACAGACCGCTCATGGTTCAGTACGGACCTCACATGGTTCAGTACAGACCTCTCATGGTTCAGTACAGACCTCACATGGTTCAGTACGGACCTCTCATGGTTCAGTACGGACCTCTCATGGTTCAGTACAGACCTCTCATGGTTCAGTACGGACCTCACATGGTTCAGTACAGACCTCTCATGGTTCAGTACGGACCTCACATGGTTCAGTACAGACCTCTCATGGTTCAGTACAGACCTCACATGGTTCAGTACAGACCTCTCATGGTTCAGTACGGACCTCACATGGTTCAGACTCCGCCTCTTTCCTTATATCCTCAGGTTAAAATTGGACTGAGGAAGTGGGCGGAGTCTGCTGTGCTCCTGCTCAGGTTGGAGCGAACACCTGCAGCCGCAGCCGCCCTGCCTGGAACTGGTTTGATAGTGGTACTATGAAGGACACAGTACTATGAAGGACACATGCACTGCGGCTCTCTGTGTTTCACTCGTGGAAGAGTATTTATACTTTTACTTTGACATGAGCAGAAGTTCTTTAGACGTCGTCTGTGATGTCATTATAATGTGTTTGCACATGGTACGTCTTTATGGTGTTGGAGACTGAGGTTAAAACCATAAACACAGAAGGACCTCAGAGGATCCACAGTCTTAAGAGCAGTTCCTTAAGGTGGACCTCAAAAGTTACTTAAGGTGGACCTCAACAGTTTCTTAAGGTGGACCTCAGCAGTTTCTTAAGGTGGACCTCAACAGTTCCTTAAGGTGGACCTCAGCAGTTTCCTTAAGGTGGACCTCAACAGTTCCTTAAGGTGGACCTCAGCAGAAGGTTAACTACGAGGAGCAAGAGGGACGAGGAGGTACTTCTATTGGATTTGGATTCAGGGAAGTGTTCTGGGAGGAAGGGGAGGCCAGAGGGGACTAGAAGAGGCCAGAGGGGACCAGAGGAGGCCAGAGGGGACCAGAGGAGGCCAGAGGGGACCAGAGGAGGCCAGAGGGGACCAGAGGAGACCAGAGGAGGCCAGAGGGGACCAGAGAGAGACCAGAGGGGACCAGAGGAGGCCAGAGGGGACCAGAGAGAGACCAGAGGGGACCAGAGAGAGACCAGAGGGGACCAGAGGAGGCCAGAGGGGACCAGAGAGAGACCAGAGGGGACCAGAGGAGGCCAGAGGGGACCAGAGGAGGCCAGAGGGGACTAGAGGAGGCCAGAGGGGACCAGAGGAGGCCAGAGGGGACCAGAGGAGGCCAGAGGGGACCAGAGGAGGCCAGAGGGGACTAGAGGAGGCCAGAGGGGACCAGAGGAGGCCAGAGGGGACTAGAGGAGGCCAGAGGGGACCAGAGGAGGCCAGAGGGGACCAGAGGAGGCCAGAGGGGACTAGAGGAGGCCAGAGGGGACCAGAGGAGGCCAGAGGGGACCAGAGGAGGCCAGAGGGGACTAGAGGAGGCCAGAGGGGACCAGAGAGAGACCAGAGGGGACCAGAGAGAGACCAGAGGGGACCAGAGGAGGCCAGAGGGGACCAGAGAGAGACCAGAGGGGACCAGAGGAGGCCAGAGGGGACCAGAGAGAGACCAGAGGGGACCAGAGGAGGCCAGAGGGGACCAGAGAGAGACCAGAGGGGACCAGAGGAGGCCAGAGGGGACTAGAGGAGGCCAGAGGGGACCAGAGAGAGACCAGAGGAGGCATGAAGGCATCAGCAGGTGTGGACAGACAGATGTGATGGGTGGTGGGTAGTGGTTGGTGGGTGGTTGTTCGAGCCATGCTATGGGTGGAGGTGGGTGGTTGTTTGAGCCATGCTATGGGTGGAGGTGGGTGGTTGTTCGAGCCATGCTATGGGTGGAGGTGGGTGGTTGTTCGAGCCATGCTATGGGTGGAGGTGGGTGGTTGTTCGAGCCATGCTATGGGTGGAGGTGGGTGGTTGTTCGAGCCATGCTATGGGTGGAGGTGGGTGGTTGTTCGAGCCATGCTATGGGTGGTGTGTTTACCCCCTGACATAGATGTCAGACATCTTCTCTCCTGTCATGAAAGCATCGTCCTCTAGAATAACGTCGTCAGTGTTCCCCAATAATGACACGCAGCTCAAAGCTGAGCACGAGCGGAGAGAAGACACACACACACCACAAACACACACAAATGGACAAGACAAAACAAAAGCATGGTTAAAACAAAAGAGAAGGTCACGCACACGCGGAGCAGCCGCCGCCGCCGCCGCCCGTACCTACCCCCGCACAAATATGTCACTGGACTTGTCCCCAGTGAAGAAATCATCGTCCTCCAGAATTACTTCATCTGTATTCCAAATAATCACTCTGAGCTCATATCTGCGAGGAACACACACTTCAGTGAGGACAGGCCTGAGGCTACAGCGCCCCCTCTGGACTCACACTCACACTACACTACACTACATACTACATTTATACTACTAATACAACTTATATACTGCATACTATATACTTATATCATCCTACAGCGCCACCTCTGGACTCACACTACAACATACTACATAGATACTACATACAGTATACAGTACAGACCAAAAGTTTGGACACCTCCTCTTTCAAAGAGTGTTTATTTTCATGATATAAAACTGTAGATTGACACTGAGGGTCTCAAACCTATGATGAACTCATGTGAATCATGTTTGTAGTAAAAAAGTATGAACCAAGTGTAAATATGTGTTATGACAGGCTAAAGGCACAGACTGTAGGTTAATGACAGACTAAAGGCACAGACTGTAGGTTAATGACAGACTAAAGGCACAGACTGTAGGTTAATGACAGGCTAAAGGCACAGACTGTAGGATAAAGACAGACTAAAGGCACAGACTGTAGGTTAAAGACAGACTAAAGGCACAGACTGTAGGTTAATGACAGACTAAAGGCACAGACTGTAGGTTAATGACAGGCTAAAGGCACAGACTGTAGGTTAAAGACAGGCTAAAGGCACAGACTGTAGGTTAATGACAGACTAAAGGCACAGACTGTAGGTTAATGACAGGCTAAAGGCACAGACTGTAGGTTAATGACAGGCTAAAGGCACAGACTGTAGGTTAAAGACAGACTAAAGGCACAGACTGTAGGTTAATGACAGACTAAAGGCACAGACTGTAGGTTAATGACAGGCTAAAGGCACAGACTGTAGGTTAATGACAGGCTAAAGGCACAGACTGTAGGTTAATGACAGACTAAAGGCACAGACTGTAGGTTAATGACAGACTAAAGGCACAGACTGTAGGTTAATGACAGGCTAAAGGCACAGACTGTAGGTTAAAGACAGACTAAAGGCACAGACTGTAGGTTAATGACAGACTAAAGGCACAGACTGTAGGTTAATGACAGACTAAAGGCACAGACTGTAGGTTAAAGACAGACTAAAGGCACAGACTGTAGGTTAATGACAGACTAAAGGCACAGACTGTAGGTTAATGACAGACTAAAGGCACAGACTGTAGGTTAATGACAGGCCAAAGGCACAGACTGTAGGTTAATGACAGACTAAAGGCACAGACTGTAGGTTAATGACAGGCTAAAGGCACAGACTGTAGGTTAATGACCAGGCCAAAGGCACAGACTGTAGGTTAATGACAGGCTAAAGGCACAGACTGTAGGTTAATGACAGACTAAAGGCACAGACTGTAGGTTAAAGACAGGCTAAAGGCACAGACTGTAGGTTAATGACAGGCCAAAGGCACAGACTGTAGGTTAATGACAGGCTAAAGGCACAGACTGTAGGTTAATGACAGGCTAAAGGCACAGACTGTAGGTTAATGACAGACTAAAGGCACAGACTGTAGGTTAATGACAGGCTAAAGGCACAGACTGTAGGTTAATGACAGACTAAAGGCACAGACTGTAGGTTAATGACAGGCTAAAGGCACAGACTGTAGGTTAATGACAGGCCAAAGGCACAGACTGTAGGTTAATGACAGACTAAAGGCACAGACTGTAGGTTAATGACAGACTAAAGGCACAGACTGTAGGTTAATGACAGGCTAAAGGCACAGACTGTAGGTTAATGACAGGCTAAAGGCACAGACTGTAGGTTAATGACAGGCTAAAGGCACAGACTGTAGGTTAATGACAGGCTAAAGGCACAGACTGTAGGTTAATGACAGACTAAAGGCACAGACTGTAGGTTAATGACAGGCTAAAGGCACAGACTGTAGGTTAATGACAGGCTAAAGGCACAGACTGTAGGTTAATGACAGGCCAAAGGCACAGACTGTAGGTTAATGACAGGCTAAAGGCACAGACTGTAGGTTAATGACAGGCTAAAGGCACAGACTGTAGGTTAATGACAGGCTAAAGGCACAGACTGTAGGTTAATGACAGACTAAAGGCACAGACTGTAGGTTAATGACAGGCTAAAGGCACAGACTGTAGGTTAATGACAGGCTAAAGGCACAGACTGTAGGTTAATGACAGACTAAAGGCACAGACTGTAGGTTAATGACAGGCTAAAGGCACAGACTGTAGGTTAATGACAGACTAAAGGCACAGACTGTAGGTTAATGACAGGCTAAAGGCACAGACTGTAGGTTAATGACAGACTAAAGGCACAGACTGTAGGTTAATGACAGGCTAAAGGCACAGACTGTAGGTTAATGACAGACTAAAGGCACAGACTGTAGGTTAATGACAGGCTAAAGGCACAGACTGTAGGTTAATGACAGACTAAAGGCACAGACTGTAGGTTAATGACAGACTAAAGGCACAGACTGTAGGTTAATGACAGACTAAAGGCACAGACTGTAGGTTAATGACAGCCTAAAGGCACAGACTGTAGGTTAATGACAGGCTAAAGGCACAGACTGTAGGTTAATGACAGACTAAAGGCACAGACTGTAGGTTAATGACAGACTAAAGGCACAGACTGTAGGTTAATGACAGGCTAAAGGCACAGACTGTAGGTTAAAGACAGACTAAAGGCACAGACTGTAGGTTAATGACAGACTAAAGGCACAGACTGTAGGTTAATGACAGACTAAAGGCACAGACTGTAGGTTAAAGACAGACTAAAGGCACAGACTGTAGGTTAATGACAGACTAAAGGCACAGACTGTAGGTTAATGACAGACTAAAGGCACAGACTGTAGGTTAATGACAGGCCAAAGGCACAGACTGTAGGTTAATGACAGACTAAAGGCACAGACTGTAGGTTAATGACAGGCTAAAGGCACAGACTGTAGGTTAATGACAGGCCAAAGGCACAGACTGTAGGTTAATGACAGGCTAAAGGCACAGACTGTAGGTTAATGACAGGCCAAAGGCACAGACTGTAGGTTAATGACAGGCTAAAGGCACAGACTGTAGGTTAATGACAGGCTAAAGGCACAGACTGTAGGTTAATGACAGGCTAAAGGCACAGACTGTAGGTTAATGACAGGCTAAAGGCACAGACTGTAGGTTAATGACAGACTAAAGGCACAGACTGTAGGTTAATGACAGGCTAAAGGCACAGACTGTAGGTTAATGACAGGCTAAAGGCACAGACTGTAGGTTAATGACAGACTAAAGGCACAGACTGTAGGTTAATGACAGGCTAAAGGCACAGACTGTAGGTTAATGACAGGCTAAAGGCACAGACTGTAGGTTAATGACAGGCTAAAGGCACAGACTGTAGGTTAATGACAGGCTAAAGGCACAGACTGTAGGTTAATGACAGACTAAAGGCACAGACTGTAGGTTAATGACAGGCTAAAGGCACAGACTGTAGGTTAATGACAGGCTAAAGGCACAGACTGTAGGTTAATGACAGACTAAAGGCACAGACTGTAGGTTAATGACAGGCTAAAGGCACAGACTGTAGGTTAATGACAGGCTAAAGGCACAGACTGTAGGTTAATGACAGGCTAAAGGCACAGACTGTAGGTTAATGACAGGCTAAAGGCACAGACTGTAGGTTAATGACAGACTAAAGGCACAGACTGTAGGTTAATGACAGACTAAAGGCACAGACTGTAGGTTAATGACAGGCTAAAGGCACAGACTGTAGGTTAATGACAGGCTAAAGGCACAGACTGTAGGTTAATGACAGGCTAAAGGCACAGACTGTAGGTTAATGACAGACTAAAGGCACAGACTGTAGGTTAATGACAGACTAAAGGCACAGACTGTAGGTTAATGACAGGCTAAAGGCACAGACTGTAGGTTAATGACAGGCTAAAGGCACAGACTGTAGGTTAATGACAGACTAAAGGCACAGACTGTAGGTTAATGACAGGCTAAAGGCACAGACTGTAGGTTAATGACAGGCTAAAGGCACAGACTGTAGGTTAATGACAGGCTAAAGGCACAGACTGTAGGTTAAAGACAGGCTAAAGGCACAGACTGTAGGTTAATGACAGGCTAAAGGCACAGACTGTAGGTTAATGACAGGCTAAAGGCACAGACTGTAGGTTAATGACAGACTAAAGGCACAGACTGTAGGTTAATGACAGGCTAAAGGCACAGACTGTAGGTTAATGACAGGCTAAAGGCACAGACTGTAGGTTAATGACAGGCTAAAGGCACAGACTGTAGGTTAATGACAGGCTAAAGGCACAGACTGTAGGTTAATGACAGACTAAAGGCACAGACTGTAGGTTAATGACAGACTAAAGGCACAGACTGTAGGTTAATGACAGGCTAAAGGCACAGACTGTAGGTTAATGACAGGCTAAAGGCACAGACTGTAGGTTAATGACAGGCTAAAGGCACAGACTGTAGGTTAATGACAGACTAAAGGCACAGACTGTAGGTTAATGACAGGCTAAAGGCACAGACTGTAGGTTAATGACAGGCTAAAGGCACAGACTGTAGGTTAATGACAGACTAAAGGCACAGACTGTAGGTTAATGACAGGCTAAAGGCACAGACTGTAGGTTAATGACAGGCTAAAGGCACAGACTGTAGGTTAATGACAGACTAAAGGCACAGACTGTAGGTTAATGACAGACTAAAGGCACAGACTGTAGGTTAATGACAGGCTAAAGGCACAGACTGTAGGTTAATGACAGGCTAAAGGCACAGACTGTAGGTTAAAGACAGACTAAAGGCACAGACTGTAGGTTAATGACAGGCTAAAGGCACAGACTGTAGGTTAATGACAGGCTAAAGGCACAGACTGTAGGTTAATGACAGACTAAAGGCACAGACTGTAGGTTAATGACAGACTAAAGGCACAGACTGTAGGTTAATGACAGGCTAAAGGCACAGACTGTAGGTTAATGACAGGCTAAAGGCACAGACTGTAGGTTAATGACAGACTAAAGGCACAGACTGTAGGTTAATGACAGGCTAAAGGCACAGACTGTAGGTTAATGACAGGCTAAAGGCACAGACTGTAGGTTAATGACAGACTAAAGGCACAGACTGTAGGTTAAAGACAGGCTAAAGGCACAGACTGTAGGTTAATGACAGGCTAAAGGCACAGACTGTAGGTTAAAGACAGGCTAAAGCTAACGGCTGCAAGTGAACAGTTTGTTCCTACATTCTTTCTGTTTTCTAACTTGTGATGCAACACTGAAATTTGTCGACTGAGGTAAAAAGAATCTGTTCATCTGTGGCTCTGGTGAAAGACACTTAACCAGGACCAGTCCAGGACCGGTCCTGGTCCAGTCCAGACCAGGCACAGAAAAGTGTGAGAAGTCCATGAGCCGAGTCCTTCTGTCTTCAGGATTCTAACGATGTCGTGCACATTTGTTCAGGTGCAGCTGACGATCGATCGAGATCAAAGGGTTTTTGTTGCCGATTGAACACATTGGATTATATTTATTCTAAATGTTTGCACAGGGATTATCAGCTCCTTAACATTGGAGCAAACTGATTAAAGCCACACGTCCCACTGGACCAAACTGCTGAAAGGACTTTGCACTCACAGTTTAGCATCGGGATTGATAAATATATCCCTGATGGAAGTTTATCTGTCGAGCACATCTGGAGCACGGCTAAACCTGTTTTAACCTGGATTTACACATAGTCAAAGCCTGTCTCACATTTACAGGAAGACTGTTCCAGATTTTAGCTGCTCGCATCTGAAACGCTGCCTCCCCATGTTTAGTCCTGACTCTGGGACCAGCAGGAGTCCAGTCCCTGTGCTCCTCAGAGTCCCAGCAGGAGGCCAGTCCCTGTGCTCCTCAGAGTCCCAGCAGGAGTCCAGTCCCTGTGCTCCTCAGAGTCCCAGCAGGAGTCCAGTCCCTGTGCTCCTCAGAGTCCCAGCAGGAGTCCAGTCCCTGTGCTCCTCAGAGTCCCAGCAGGAGGCCAGTCCCTGTGCTCCTCAGAGTCCCAGCAGGAGGCCAGTCCCTGTGCTCCTCAGAGTCCCAGCAGGAGTCCAGTCCCTGTGCTCCTCAGAGTCCCAGCAGGAGTCCAGTCCCTGTGCTCCTCAGAGTCCCAGCAGGAGTCCAGTCCCTGTGCTCCTCAGAGTCCCAGCAGGAGTCCAGTCCCTGTGCTCCTCAGAGTCCCAGCAGGAGTCCAGTCCCTGTGCTCCTCAGAGTCCCAGCAGGAGGCCAGTCCCTGTGCTCCTCAGAGTCCCAGCAGGAGGCCAGTCCCTGTGCTCCTCAGAGTCCCAGCAGGAGTCCAGTCCCTGTGCTCCTCAGAGTCCCAGCAGGAGTCCAGTCCCTGTGCTCCTCAGAGTCCCAGCAGGAGGCCAGTCCCTGTGCTCCTCAGAGTCCCAGCAGGAGGCCAGTCCCTGTGCTCCTCAGAGTCCCAGCAGGAGGCCAGTCCCTGTGCTCTTCAGAGTCCCAGCAGGAGGCCAGTCCCTGTGCTCCTCAGAGTCCCAGCAGGAGTCCAGTCCCTGTGCTCCTCAGAGTCCCAGCAGGAGTCCAGTCCCTGTGCTCCTCAGAGTCCCAGCAGGAGGCCAGTCCCTGTGCTCCTCAGAGTCCCAGCAGGAGGCCAGTCCCTGTGCTCCTCAGAGTCCCAGCAGGAGTCCAGTCCCTGTGCTCCTCAGAGTCCCAGCAGGAGTCCAGTCCCTGTGCTCCTCAGAGTCCCAGCAGGAGGCCAGTCCCTGTGCTCCTCAGAGTCCCAGCAGGAGTCCAGTCCCTGTGCTCTTCAGAGTCCCAGCAGGAGGCCAGTCCCTGTGCTCCTCAGAGTCCCAGCAGGAGGCCAGTCCCTGTGCTCCTCAGAGTCCCGGCAGGAGTCCAGTCCCTGTGCTCCTCAGAGTCCCGGCAGGAGGCCAGTCCCTGTGCTCCTCAGAGTCCCAGCAGGAGGCCAGTCCCTGTGATCCTCAGAGTCCCAGCAGGAGGCCAGTCCCTGTGCTCCTCAGAGTCCCAGCAGGAGGCCAGTCCCTGTGCTCCTCAGAGTCCCAGCAGGAGGCCAGTCCCTGTGCTCCTCAGAGTCCCAGCAGGAGGCCAGTCCCTGTGCTCCTCAGAGTCCCAGCAGGAGTCCAGTCCCTAGGCTCCTCAGAGTCCCAGCAGGAGGCCAGTCCCTAGGCTCCTCAGAGTCCCAGCAGGAGGCCAGTCCCTGTGCTCCTCAGAGTCCCACCTCTGGCCTGAGTGGCTTCTGACTCCTAAACCCTCAGATTAAAACCTTTCTATAATCTGCAGTGGTGGTTAAGGGGGGGGGGTTGGAGGCACAGCTGGTCCAGGATCCTGGTCCGTGTAGAGTGGACCTCCGTTGGCTCCGGCCCAGCTCTTTGCCAGGATTAGTCTGAGCACATGTGGAACCAGAACAGTGTCAAAACCAGGACATTAGACGGATGTGCCCCAAAGCATCCTGGGAGTTGTAGTCTGTTTCAGGCAGAATGAAATCACCTGGAAAAGCACCGGTAGAGTCTGAACAGATGAAGTCTCCGTGACCTGTGGAGTTTGAGTTTGTCCGTTTTGTGAAGGTTATTGTTATATTTACAGATTCACTTCTATGTGTTTGTGTTTCGCCCAAAGTCACAACAAACAGTTCAAAAACAAATCAGAGTCGTTGGTCCATAGGAGAGGATATATATTTGCCACAGACAGAATCACTCAGATTGTGCAAAAATAAGTGCAACATGTCAAAGGTTTAAAATACAGGAAGGAGGACCACTGTCTATAAATGTTCATAAATGTTCATTAACTCTTTAGGCGCCAGCTTTTTTGACTACAATAATAAATACTGGAAACACACACAAAAAAATTATGTAAGAAAAATGTAGAGAGGCGACCGTGGAAAGCAAGGTCGCTGTATAGAAAGTGTTCTGGATTAAGAAGCCTGTGCAGCTATTTGCCTTCTGTATGTCCCGGATCATCCCTGTCCCAAAACAGTGGAAATGTAGAGATTTGTGTAGATTCCAACCGAGCAGGAGCAACAACAGACTCCACCCTTTTCCTCCAGTCTCCAGGTTCCAACTGGACTCAGCGAGGAAGTGGGCGGAGCCTGTTGTTGCTCCTGCTCGGTTGGAATGAAAACCTGCACCCACATTTCCCCTTGAACACCTCTGCTCTACAGCGTGGTGGTAAATTGTGTTTGTAAATGGACAGTTATTGAAACACCGACATCTCCTGGTTACTAAAGTGTTCCAGTCATCTAAAAGTGAACACAGAGAATCCAGACCCTATACGGGGCGGGCTCTTTTTCCAAATAAAAATTACAGACTTTTTCCAGACTTTTTAAAAACTGAGCAGTGACATCACAATAATCAAAAGAGAGAGTTGATTGGACATAATTCAGACTAATGCAGAACGTGACCAGTCAGTACAAGTATAGTTTTATAGCCTCCCTTCCTACTGCCTTTGAGCAAACTGTCAAATTCTACCAGACTTTCTTCCCCCATAGTTATTAAGACTTTCAAGACTTGCTTAAGCACCCTGCGATAAGACTGATAAAAAGTTGATTTACTAATGTACAAACAATTTACAAACGCCTTTAGACGTACGAAGGATTTATTTAGCACAGTTCATGCACGAGGCAACTCAAAGGCATTAATAATCAAAGTATATTAAAAAGGAGCAGGAGCCAGTCCCTGAATAGAAGAGAAAGTCTCGCCTGTAGCGCCCTCTCCTGGACAGACTCGAGCACTACTGGCCTCAGGATGGAAACAAGTTTAACACAGAACACATTTTTCTCTAATTAAACTTCGTACTCGTTGACATTAAAGGTATAAAGGAGGATTTTCTACTTCCGGGTGGATCAAGACTATTGGTCCTCCCACCTGTCATCATTCTGGTGATACGTGCTCGTCCAATAAGAGCAGAGAGTTTTTTCAAAATGTGGAGAGAGCGGGAAATTGTGAAAATCCTAACCCTAACCCTTAAGCAATATTAAAATCCACTTTTGTGAAGGCTAAAACTTTTTGTGTTTAATTGTGTTAGTATTAATTAGTAATAAGTAACTAATCTTAATTCATATACTGCCTTCCACAGACCAGCATACAATTCTTTTTTTTGGGCATTAGTCTCCCACTCCACACAGAGATGGGAGCGGGGCCAGTACAGAACTAGTGTACATGTTTTTAGTGGTAGGGGAAACCGGAGCACCTGGAGGAAACCTACATAGACACAAGGAGAACATGCAAACTCCACTCAGAAAGGCCCTGTTCTGTCTGATATCTGTGTATGTTGTGTTGATACAGGTGACCGTTTGGCTGCCTCCTCCGTCACACTCTTTGGGACCCTCCCCCCCTCAAGGCACCTCCCTCACACAATCAACCAGCGCCATGGAGCCCAGCAAGGTCCAATCAGAAGGCGGCCTCAACGTCACCCTCACCATCCGCCTGCTCATGCACGGAAAGGTACGGCCCTCCTTTCTCACCATGGTACCTGCAGCATGTCTGGGCCAACTCTAACGTGTGTGTGTGTGTGTGTGTGTGTGTGTGTGTGTGTGTGTGTGTGTGTGTGTGTGTGTGTCTCTGTGTGTTTTCACAGGAGGTGGGCAGCATAATTGGAAAGGTAATATGACCAACACAAACAGAGCAGAGAAATGAATGAGGAGCCAAAAGCCATGGTAAAAAATATGTATTTGTTTACTTTTTTACAGAAAGGAGAAACGGTGAAGAAAATGAGAGAGGATGTAAGTTTCAACATTAATATTTTCTCTTTCAAAGTTATAAATGTGTGGAACATCATCAGATAGGCCACAAACATGTGTATTATAATTAAATATATTTCTAGAACATAAAAGTCTTATTCCTAGTTAGAACTTTATTTATTTTTCTAAAGAAGAGTGAACGAAGGACCTTCATCGAGGCTGGATCAAAGAAACATCTAACAATATTTGATTTGGTTTTTCATTTGTATGTTTTTTTAATATCGCAGAGAATTACAGAAAGAAAAACACACCTCAGTCCCAGACCTCATCCCCCACACACACACACGCACACAGACACACACACACACGCACACACACACACATACACGTTTTTGTTACCTGGTGGGTCCCTTTGACAGGGCCGTTCAGAATGGGACCCATAGACATAATCTTTTTTTACCAAGACTTTAAGTAATACAAAACAGTCAATAGAAACCAAACAACTATTTTAAAGGAATTTTATTTTAGATTTTGTTTTCGAATTGCAGTGATTCTATTTTTGACATAGAATTTAATGCCACTCCATGTCCGATGTCTAAGGTCATCTGGTGAGGCATTAATGCAGGCCAGGCAGTGAGACTTCCCAGGGACCTTTCCAGTCTGTATGAAAGGTGTCATGGTCTTCTCCACAGCCTTCACCTCAGATGCAGACCATGGCTTTCTTACACGTTCTAGGGAGAGAAATAAAAATATATTAGCAATATACACTCCCAGGGTGAGGACCAAGCAGCCTGGCTGTAATCCCCCACCTGGTACACTTACCAGAAGGGGCACTGCCACTACCATGGGGTGCATCTGGATGAATGGTTGAAGGTTCTCCGCTTGAAGTTTCTTTTAGCCCGTCCGTTTGTGAGAGGATCTCTACTGCTCTCCCTGTCGCACAGAAAATAAAAATACAAGTGGCCTTTAGGGGAAAAAAATCATACATATTTTAATAATATCAAGAATTACCTTCAGGCTCAATTTGTATCTGGTCGAGGCTCTTTCCTTCGAATTCCGTCACTCTTCCCTGCTCCATGGCCATCAACACTTTGCTGATTTTGGCCAGCTCCAGTGTCCCCTCTGGTAGTCTGTAATATTGCCTGTGGATGCGAATGTCATGGCCGAGGAAGTTGGCAAGTATGTCCATCTCATTCTCTTTCATATTGAGAACTGTAGACATAGTAGCTATGTGCTTTCTAAGTTTGGTTGAGGATAGCATCTCTGGATGCACCGCACCACATTCTTTGGCTACCTGGCGTAGGGAGTCTGATCCCCTGATGTGGGTGTCTGCGCCCGGGCGGGAAAAGAAGTATGGGTTATGGTCAGAGATGGAACAGGCCCTTCTGTTCTCCACCAGCACCTCCATCGAAGCAATCATTTCAGGAGTCAAAAGAACCGGCACTTTCCGACTTCTTTTCCCTTTCATTTCAATGCGTTGAAAATGCTGACACAGCTTTTTCTCAAGTTGGGACAGTCCCAGAGCAATGTCAGAATGGATCCCAGTCTTACTTCTTAAGGTAAAGGCTGTCAGTGGCATCTTTGAAACCTCACCTTCCCTTCTTCGATTGAAAATGATGACCTCACAAAGAGTCAAAACTGCCAGTTTAGACCAATGCTTAGACGTTGGCTCACTTATTAGGGTTTGCACATATTCAGGTCGACATACCTCAATATGTGCATGCATGGCTCTAACGTCCTCAGTCAGAGGGAGCAGGTCCGGAGTGTTCCACTTGGCTTGCCGGAGGGTCTGTAGGGCAGCAGAAGAAACACAGACGTCCCACCTCTTCTCAAAAAGCAGCCGGCTTCGTTGGAGGTTTTTAATAAATAGTTCATCAACACAATGCTCCATTTTTGAGTCACATTCAAGAATATCTGCTAGCTTTCTGAGGCTATGGCCGAGTTTGAGGGCCAAGGATGGAGTCTTGTATTGATTTGTTTCCTCATCATATCCAGCCACAGACCTGACTGCATCAATCACATGGTTAAAGTTGGAAGGAATAAAGAAATCCTTAATTGTTTTCAGTTTCCCTGCGGTTTTTGCTTCGTTAATTAACCTACCGACTTCTCTCATTTTCTGCCTAATGTAATCATGCTTAGTCTTATCATGCCCGTGTTTTAAGTACAGGTGCTCTCCGAGTCTCAGAATCCCCTTTTCTGCTTTGACAACACCCGTGACCTCATCCTGATGCATTGCCGAAATTAAAGACCACAGCTTTTTGCTGATGCCCTCCGGTACAGGCTGGGCTAGGGAGCAGAGGGACTGGACCCTACTTCTACCTGGTTTAGCCTGGGCATCTTTCTGTGAAAGCCGGCACCTGGCCACATGCCTCCACAGCGACTTTCGCTTAAGCAATGCCCCACAGTCTATACAGTGCAAAAACTCACTGGATTTAACTGGGGAATTTGGCTGTTTAGCTGGGACTAAAGTTCCAATGCCGGCCTTTAAAACCTCAAAATTGTGCTCACGGTTTCCACTATTCCTGATCAAATCAAACTGAAGTTTACGTGCTTTAGATTTCACAGGTAGAGCCAATGCTCTGGCTACGTCACTTTCATTTCCATGTTTTCTAGTCAAATGACGGGACATTTTGTGGCAGGACATTGAACAGTAGAGGCAGAAGTGTCTCTTGCTGTATACTCGCCCCCCATTTTTCTTCTTTTGCAGCTGCATGACCTCTCTCCCATCTCTCCCTCTCTCTCCTCCTCTCCCTCTCCCTCTCTCTCTCTCTCCCTCTCCTCTCTCTCTCTTTGCCTCTTTTTCTCCCTCTAATCTCTCCCTCTCTCTCTCTCCCTCTCTCTCTCACCTCTCTCTCTCACTCCTCCCTCTCTCTCTCTCTCTCTCTCTCTCTCTCTCTCTCTCTCAGCCACCTCTCTCTCTCTCTCTCTCTCTCCTCTCTCTCTCTCCCTCTCTCTCTCTCTCGTCTCTCTCACTTCTCTCTCTCGAGCTCTCTCCCTCTCTCCCTCATCAGTCGGAGGGAGCTCTCTCTGCTGCCCCCTGCTGGACACTCACAGAAACAGGGGCTCCTGATGTCGGCTGAGAATCTGGGTCACATTACGCTCCTCTGTTTGGACCATACTGAATTAATCACGCTTTACGCATGGCTGGACCCCTCTCTGTGCCCCCCCTCACCCCTCACCCCCTCACCCCTCACCCCCTCACCCTCACCCCCTCATGTACGCCACGCGACAAAAGGGAAAGGCCAGTAAAAGAAGTGGTTGTAAAGTGGTCTTTTCAACAATCATAAAAACAAACCTCCAGGACATTCTCTGCTCGGTTTGAAAAAGAAACCAAGAAAAGCAAAGATTTTTCTGAGTGCACTTAGTTTTTGTCCTCATTCTGGAACTATAAAAGGCTTTAGAAAGACTGGAGAGGCCCGGAGTCACAGAAACTGGTTTAGAATACGGTACAGCTGTCAAAAAGATATATATATAACTCATTGTGGAGTGGCTTTTTTGAGGCGGTGTCAAAGTGAGCCATAGATCCATAGAAGTGGGACGTCCATAAATAAGTGTATATGGTCCATGAAGTCATTCTACTGAGTGAAAGCGGGCCGTGTTATCAGAACCAAAACTACAGTTCCTTCATCTGCGGCTGACACAGTCTGTGGCCGAGAGCCCGGATTACATTCAACGTGGTCTAATCTAGAAGCAAAGCCGGCGTCATCTGTTCAACATAATCCACATGTTCTGTAAAAAACGTCTGCGGGATTGTCTCCGTGTGACGTGAGAATCAGACATGTTTTATATCAATCTGGACTTATTGTTGTTCTGGGTTTTTGGGGATCTTGTGTCTGTTTTTATCTGTTTTTTCTTCTACAACCTCCACATCCTGAGCCGGGCCGGGTCAGAACCACCATCACATAAACTAAAATTAAAAAAATAAAACATTCTCAGGCGGTCGTAAGCATAAAACCCTCATCTTTGCATCTGCACAGACTTTTTTTAGACATTATTATGACTTTCCATCTGGGTTTTGGTAACGCTGAGCTAAGTCCTGCTAAGCCTCTGTCAGGACCAGAGCTACAGTGGAAACCGGAGCACCTGGAGGAAACCTACACAGACATTGGGAGAACATGCAAACTGCCCCCAGACAGACCCTGTTCCAACCCAGGACTCAAACTCTGGACCTGCTGTAGCTAACCTGGCTGTAGCTAACCTGGCTGTGGCTAACCTGGCTGTAGCTAACCGGGCTGTGGCTAACCGGGCTGTGGCTAACCTGGCTGTAGCTAACCTGGCTGTGGCTAACCTGGCTGTGGCTAACCTGGCTGTAGCTAACCTGGCTGTAGCTAACCGGGCTGTGGCTAACCTGGCTGTAGCTAACCTGGCTGTGGCTAACCTGGCTGTAGCTAACCTGGCTGTGGCTAACCTGGCTGTAGCTAACCTGGCTGTAGCTAACCTGGCTGTAGCTAACCTGGCTGTAGCTAACCTGGCTGTGGCTAACCGGGCTGTGGCTAACCTGGCTGTAGCTAACCTGGCTGTAGCTAACCTGGCTGTAGCTAACCTGGCTGTAGCTAACCTGGCTGTAGCTAACCTGGCTGTAGCTAACCTGGCTGTAGCTAACCTGGCTGTAGCTAACCTGGCTGTAGCTAACCTGGCTGTAGCTAACCTGGCTGTAGCTAACCTGGCTGTGGCTAACCTGGCTGTAGCTAACCTGGCTGTAGCTAACCTGGCTGTAGCTAACCTGGCTGTGGCTAACCTGGCTGTAGCTAACCTGGCTGTAGCTAACCTGGCTGTGGCTAACCTGGCTGTGGCTAACCTGGCTGTAGCTAACCTGGCTGTAGCTAACCTGGCTGTGGCTAACCTGGCTGTAGCTAACCTGGCTGTAGCTAACCTGGCTGTAGCTAACCTGGCTGTGGCTAACCTGGCTGTAGCTAACCTGGCTGTGGCTAACCTGGCTGTAGCTAACCTGGCTGTAGCTAACCTGGCTGTGGCTAACCTGGCTGTAGCTAACCTGGCTGTAGCTAACCTGGCTGTAGCTAACCTGGCTGTAGCTAACCTGGCTGTAGCTAACCTGGCTGTGGCTAACCTGGCTGTGGCTAACCTGGCTGTAGCTAACCTGGCTGTGGCTAACCTGGCTGTAGCTAACCTGGCTGTAGCTAACCTGGCTGTAGCTAACCTGGCTGTAGCTAACCTGGCTGTGGCTAACCTGGCTGTAGCTAACCTGGCTGTGGCTAACCTGGCTGTAGCTAACCTGGCTGTAGCTAACCTGGCTGTGGCTAACCTGGCTGTGGCTAACCTGGCTGTAGCTAACCTGGCTGTGGCTAACCTGGCTGTAGCTAACCTGGCTGTGGCTAACCTGGCTGTAGCTAACCTGGCTGTAGCTAACCTGGCTGTGGCTAACCTGGCTGTGGCTAACCTGGCTGTGGCTAACCTGGCTGTAGCTAACCTGGCTGTAGCTAACCTGGCTGTGGCTAACCTGGCTGTAGCTAACCTGGCTGTAGCTAACCTGGCTGTAGCTAACCTGGCTGTAGCTAACCTGGCTGTGGCTAACCTGGCTGTGGCTAACCTGGCTGTAGCTAACCTGGCTGTAGCTAACCTGGCTGTAGCTAACCTGGCTGTAGCTAACCTGGCTGTAGCTAACCTGGCTGTAGCTAACCTGGCTGTAGCTAACCTGGCTGTAGCTAACCTGGCTAACCTGGCTGTAGCTAACCTGGCTGTGGCTAACCTGGCTGTAGCTAACCTGGCTGTAGCTAACCTGGCTGTAGCTAACCTGGCTGGTGGCTAACCTGGCTGTAGCTAACCTGGCTGTAGCTAACCTGGCTGTAGCTAACCTGGCTGTGGCTAACCGGGCTGTAGCTAACCTGGCTGTAGCTAACCTGGCTGTGGCTAACCTGGCTGTAGCTAACCTGGCTGTAGCTAACCTGGCTGTAGCTAACCTGGCTGTGGCTAACCTGGCTGTAGCTAACCTGGCTGTGGCTAACCTGGCTGTAGCTAACCTGGCTGTAGCTAACCTGGCTGTAGCTAACCTGGCTGTGGCTAACCTGGCTGTAGCTAACCTGGCTGTGGCTAACCTGGCTGTAGCTAACCTGGCTGTAGCTAACCTGGCTGTAGGCTAACCTGGCTGTGGCTAACCTGGCTGTAGCTAACCTGGCTGTAGCTAACCTGGCTGTAGCTAACCTGGCTGTAGCTAACCGGGCTGTGGCTAACCTGGCTGTAGCTAACCTGGCTGTAGCTAACCTGGCTGTGGCTAACCTGGCTGTAGCTAACCTGGCTGTAGCTAACCTGGCTGTAGCTAACCTGGCTGTAGCTAACCTGGCTGTAGCTAACCTGGCTGTAGCTAACCTGGCTGTGGCTAACCTGGCTGTGGCTAACCTGGCTGTAGCTAACCTGGCTGTAGCTAACCTGGCTGTAGCTAACCTGGCTGTAGCTAACCTGGCTGTGGCTAACCTGGCTGTGGCTAACCTGGCTGTGGCTAACCTGGCTGTAGCTAACCTGGCTGTGGCTAACCTGGCTGTAGCTAACCTGGCTGTAGCTAACCTGGCTGTAGCTAACCTGGCTGTAGCTAACCTGGCTGAGCTAACCTGGCTGTAGCTAACCTGGCTGGCTGGGCTGTAACCTGGCTGTAGCTAACCTGGCTGTGCTAGCTGTAGCTAAGCTAACCTGGCTGTAGCTAACCTGGCTGTGGCTAACCTGGCTGTAGCTAACCTGGCTGTGGCTAACCTGGCTGTGCTAACCGCTAACCTGGCTGTAGCTAACCTGGCTGTAGCTAACCTGGCTGTAGCTAACCTGGCTGTAGCTAACCTGGCTGTAGGCTAACCTGGCTGTAGCTAACCTGGCTGTGGCTAAACCTGGCTGTAGCTAACCTGGCTGTAGCTAACCTGGCTGTAGCTAACCTGGCTGTAGCTAACCTGGCTGTGCTAACCTGGCTGTAGCTGTAAACCTGGCTGTAGCTAACCTGGCTGTGGCTAACCTGGCTGTAGCTAACCTGGCTGTAGCTAACCTGGCTGTAGCTAACCTGGCTGTAGCTAACCTGGCTGTAGCTAACCTGGCTGTGGCTAACCTGGCTGTAGCTAACCTGGCTGTAGCTAACCTGCTGTGCTAACCTGGCTGTAGCTAACCTGGCTGTAGCTAACCTGGCTGTAGCTAACCTGGCTGTGGCTAACCTGGCTGTAGCTAACCTGGCTGTAGCTGTGCTAACCTGGCTGTAGCTAACCTGGCTGTAGCTAACCTGGCTGTGGCTAACCTGGCTGTGGCTAACCTGGCTGTGGCTAACCTGGCTGTGGCTAACCTGGCTGTGGCTAACCTGGCTGTAGCTAACCTGGCTGTAGCTAACCTGGCTGTGGCTAACCTGGCTGTGGCTAACCTGGCTGTGGCTAACCTGGCTGTGGCTAACCTGTGCTACCTGGCTGTGCTAACCTGGCTGTGGCTAACCTGGCTGTAGCTAACCTGGCTGTAGCTAACCTGGCTGTAGCTAACCTGGCTGTGGCTAACCTGGCTGTAGCTAACCTGGCTGTAGCTAACCTGGCTGTGGCTAACCTGGCTGTAGCTAACCTGGCTGTAGCTAACCGGGCTGTGGCTAACCTGGCTGTAGCTAACCTGGCTGTGGCTAACCTGGCTGTAGCTAACCTGGCTGTGGCTAACCTGGCTGTGGCTAACCTGGCTGTAGCTAACCTGGCTGTGGCTAACCTGGCTGTAGCTAACCTGGCTGTGGCTAACCTGGCTGTAGCTAACCTGGCTGTGGCTAACCTGGCTGTGGCTAACCTGGCTGTGGCTAACCTGGCTGTAGCTAACCTGGCTGTGGCTAACCTGGCTGTAGCTAACCTGGCTGTAGCTAACCTGGCTGTGGCTAACCTGGCTGTGGCTAACCTGGCTGTGGCTAACCTGGCTGTAGCTAACCTGGCTGTAGCTAACCTGGCTGTGGCTAACCTGGCTGTAGCTAACCTGGCTGTGGCTAACCTGGCTGTGGCTAACCTGGCTGTAGCTAACCTGGCTGTGGCTAACCTGGCTGTAGCTAACCTGGCTGTGGCTAACCGGGCTGTGGCTAACCTGGCTGTGGCTAACCTGGCTGTGGCTAACCTGGCTGTAGCTAACCTGGCTGTAGCTAACCTGGCTGTAGCTAACCTGGCTGTAGCTAACCTGGCTGTAGCTAACCTGGCTGTAGCTAACCTGGCTGTAGCTAACCTGGCTGTGGCTAACCTGGCTGTGGCTAACCTGGCTGTAGCTAACCTGGCTGTAGCTAACCTGGCTGTGGCTAACCTGGCTGTAGCTAACCTGGCTGTAGCTAACCTGGCTGTAGCTAACCTGGCTGTAGCTAACCTGGCTGTAGCTAACCTGGCTGTAGCTAACCTGGCTGTAGCTAACCTGGCTGTGGCTAACCTGGCTGTGGCTAACCTGGCTGTAGCTAACCTGGCTGTGGCTAACCTGGCTGTAGCTAACCTGGCTGTGGCTAACCTGGCTGTGGCTAACCTGGCTGTAGCTAACCTGGCTGTGGCTAACCTGGCTGTGGCTAACCTGGCTGTGGCTAACCTGGCTGTGGCTAACCTGGCTGTAGCTAACCTGGCTGTAGCTAACCTGGCTGTAGCTAACCTGGCTGTAGCTAACCTGGCTGTAGCTAACCGGGCTGTGGCTAACCTGGCTGTAGCTAACCTGGCTGTAGCTAACCTGGCTGTGGCTAACCTGGCTGTGGCTAACCTGGCTGTAGCTAACCTGGCTGTAGCTAACCTGGCTGTAGCTAACCTGGCTGTAGCTAACCTGGCTGTGGCTAACCGGGCTGTGGCTAACCTGGCTGTAGCTAACCTGGCTGTAGCTAACCTGGCTGTAGCTAACCTGGCTGTAGCTAACCTGGCTGTGGCTAACCTGGCTGTAGCTAACCGGGCTGTGGCTAACCTGGCTGTGGCTAACCTGGCTGTAGCTAACCTGGCTGTAGCTAACCTGGCTGTGGCTAACCTGGCTGTGGCTAACCTGGCTGTAGCTAACCTGGCTGTGGCTAACCTGGCTGTAGCTAACCTGGCTGTAGCTAACCTGGCTGTAGCTAACCTGGCTGTAGCTAACCTGGCTGTAGCTAACCTGGCTGTGGCTAACCTGGCTGTGGCTAACCTGGCTGTAGCTAACCTGGCTGTAGCTAACCTGGCTGTAGCTAACCTGGCTGTAGCTAACCTGGCTGTGGCTAACCTGGCTGTGGCTAACCTGGCTGTAGCTAACCTGGCTGTAGCTAACCTGGCTGTAGCTAACCTGGCTGTAGCTAACCGGGCTGTGGCTAACCTGGCTGTAGCTAACCTGGCTGTAGCTAACCTGGCTGTGGCTAACCTGGCTGTAGCTAACCTGGCTGTGGCTAACCTGGCTGTGGCTAACCTGGCTGTGGGCTAACCTGGCTGTAGCTAACCTGGCTGTAGCTAACCTGGCTGTAGCTAACCTGGCTGTGGCTAACCTGGCTGTAGCTAACCTGGCTGTAGCTAACCTGGCTGTAGCTAACCTGGCTGTAGCTAACCTGGCTGTGGCTAACCTGGCTGTAGCTAACCTGGCTGTAGCTAACCTGGCTGTAGCTAACCTGGCTGTAGCTAACCTGGCTGTAGCTAACCTGGCTGTGGCTAACCTGGCTGTGGCTAACCGGGCTGTGGCTAACCTGGCTGTAGCTAACCTGGCTGTGGCTAACCTGGCTGTAGCTAACCTGGCTGTAGCTAACCTGGCTGTAGCTAACCTGGCTGTAGCTAACCTGGCTGTGGCTAACCTGGCTGTAGCTAACCTGGCTGTAGCTAACCTGGCTGTGGCTAACCGGGCTGTAGCTAACCTGGCTGTAGCTAACCTGGCTGTAGCTAACCTGGCTGTGGCTAACCTGGCTGTAGCTAACCTGGCTGTAGCTAACCTGGCTGTAGCTAACCTGGCTGTGGCTAACCTGGCTGTAGCTAACCTGGCTGTGGCTAACCGGGCTGTGGCTAACCTGGCTGTAGCTAACCTGGCTGTGGCTAACCTGGCTGTAGCTAACCTGGCTGTAGCTAACCTGGCTGTGGCTAACCTGGCTGTAGCTAACCTGGCTGTAGCTAACCTGGCTGTGGCTAACCTGGCTGTAGCTAACCTGGCTGTAGCTAACCTGGCTGTGGCTAACCTGGCTGTGGCTAACCTGGCTGTGGCTAACCTGGCTGTGGCTAACCTGGCTGTAGCTAACCTGGCTGTAGCTAACCTGGCTGTAGCTAACCTGGCTGTGGCTAACCTGGCTGTAGCTAACCTGGCTGTAGCTAACCTGGCTGTGGCTAACCTGGCTGTGGCTAACCTGGCTGTAGCTAACCTGGCTGTGGCTAACCTGGCTGTAGCTAACCTGGCTGTAGCTAACCTGGCTGTAGCTAACCTGGCTGTAGCTAACCTGGCTGTAGCTAACCTGGCTGTAGCTAACCTGGCTGTGGCTAACCTGGCTGTAGCTAACCTGGCTGTAGCTAACCTGGCTGTAGCTAACCTGGCTGTAGCTAACCGGGCTGTGGCTAACCGGGCTGTAGCTAACCTGGCTGTAGCTAACCTGGCTGTGGCTAACCTGGCTGTGGCTAACCTGGCTGTAGCTAACCTGGCTGTAGCTAACCTGGCTGTAGCTAACCTGGCTGTAGCTAACCTGGCTGTAGCTAACCTGGCTGTAGCTAACCTGGCTGTAGCTAACCTGGCTGTGGCTAACCTGGCTGTAGCTAACCTGGCTGTAGCTAACCTGGCTGTAGCTAACCTGGCTGTAGCTAACCTGGCTGTGGCTAACCTGGCTGTGGCTAACCGGGCTGTGGCTAACCTGGCTGTAGCTAACCTGGCTGTAGCTAACCTGGCTGTAGCTAACCTGGCTGTGGCTAACCTGGCTGTAGCTAACCTGGCTGTAGCTAACCTGGCTGTAGCTAACCTGGCTGTAGCTAACCTGGCTGTAGCTAACCTGGCTGTGGCTAACCTGGCTGTGGCTAACCTGGCTGTAGCTAACCTGGCTGTGGCTAACCTGGCTGTGGCTAACCGGGCTGTGGCTAACCTGGCTGTAGCTAACCGGGCTGTGGCTAACCTGGCTGTAGCTAACCTGGCTGTGGCTAACCTGGCTGTAGCTAACCTGGCTGTAGCTAACCTGGCTGTAGCTAACCTGGCTGTGGCTAACCTGGCTGTGGCTAACCTGGCTGTAGCTAACCTGGCTGTAGCTAACCTGGCTGTAGCTAACCTGGCTGTGGCTAACCTGGCTGTAGCTAACCTGGCTGTAGCTAACCTGGCTGTAGCTAACCTGGCTGTAGCTAACCTGGCTGTGGCTAACCTGGCTGTAGCTAACCTGGCTGTAGCAAACCTGGCTGTAGCTAACCTGGCTGTGGCTAACCTGGCTGTGGCTAACCTGGCTGTGGCTAACCTGGCTGTGGCTAACCTGGCTGTAGCTAACCTGGCTGTAGCTAACCTGGCTGTGGCTAACCTGGCTGTAGCTAACCTGGCTGTGGCTAACCTGGCTGTAGCTAACCTGGCTGTAGCTAACCTGGCTGTAGCTAACCTGGCTGTGGCTAACCTGGCTGTAGCTAACCTGGCTGTAGCTAACCTGGCTGTAGCTAACCTGGCTGTGGCTAACCTGGCTGTAGCTAACCTGGCTGTAGCTAACCTGGCTGTAGCTAACCTGGCTGTGGCTAACCTGGCTGTAGCTAACCTGGCTGTGGCTAACCTGGCTGTAGCTAACCTGGCTGTAGCTAACCTGGCTGTAGCTAACCTGGCTGTAGCTAACGTACACTGCATACAGATATAAAACATTTTTTCTAAGGAGACGTTTCTGTGTCGTTTAAAACAGATTCATGTTTTGAGGCTCAGTCTGAATCTGCTTTTCACCATTTGAGGAATTTTTGACTTTTATCTTTCTAACGTGGTGTGTTTGCCGCAGCAGATCGCCGTCTGCACGTGGCGGCGTGCGGCGGCGTGCGGCGGCGTGCGGCGGCGTGCGGCGTGTCTCGTGGTGGCGCTGAGGTCGGACAAAGGCAGGAGCGTGGCGTGGGGGGGGCAGAGGGAGGGGCGTGGCGTGGGGGGGCAGAGGGAGGGGCGTGGCGTGGGGGGGCAGAGGGAGGGGCGTGGCGTGGGGGGGCAGAGGGAGGGGCGTGGCGTGGGGGGGCAGAGGGAGGGGCGTGGCGTGGGGGGGCAGAGGGAGGGGCGTGGCGTGGGGGGGCAGAGGGAGGGGCGTGGCGTGGGGGGGCAGAGGGAGGGGCGTGGCGTGGGGGGGGCAGAGGGAGGGGGGTGACCTGGATCAGTCCAAGTCGGAAAATCCATGAATATAAATGATCTTTTTGGATTATTTTAGATTTTTTTTTTTGACTAAAAACAATTTCACTTCAAATTAAAGAAATCTTAAACTGAGTTTGTTTGGCCGAGTCTTTCATCCGTTCGCAATTTTGTCCGTTGACCCGAAGAATTTGATAATTGGTCCCACAGCGGGGAAATTTCAGTGTTGCATCACCAATTACAGAACAGTAGGAATGAGGAGCACACGACACAAGATATATAAACAATAACTCTAAACTAGAATAAAATAACATCTCTAACTTTAGCATGATAAAGAAGCTAGTATTTAATCTAACTTAAGCATAATAATAATAATAATCTATCGTTTCATCTTCTCCCTCTGATTATTTCAATTTTAGAGTCTGTTTTTACAGACATATTTCTCTGATCTTTCCCAGTACCATAGTATATTAGCAGTATATTAGTAGTATATTAGTAGTATATTAGTAGTATATAAGCAGTATATTAGTAGTATATTAGCAGTATATTAGTAGTATATTAGCAGTATATTAGCAGTATATTAGTAGTATATAAGCAGTATATTAGCAGTATATTAGCAGTATATTAGTAGTATATTAGTAGTATATTAGCAGTATATTAGTAGTATATTAGTAGTATATTAGCAGTATATAAGCAGTATATTCGCAGTATATTAGCAGTATATTAGTAGTATATTAGTAGTATATTAGTAGTATATTAGTAGTATATTAGCAGTATATTAGCAGTATATTAGTAGTATATTAGTAGTATATAAGCAGTATATTAGCAGTATATTAGCAGTATATTAGTAGTATATAAGCAGTATATTAGTAGTATATTAGTAGTATATTAGTAGTATATTAGTAGTATATTAGTAGTATATTAGTAGTATATAAGCAGTATATTAGCAGTATATTAGCAGTATATTAGTAGTATATTAGTAGTATATTAGCAGTATATTAGTAGTATATTAGTAGTATATAAGCAGTATATTAGCAGTATATTAGCAGTATATTAGTAGTATATTAGTAGTATATTAGTAGTATATTAGCAGTATATTAGCAGTATATTAGTAGTATATTAGTAGTATATAAGCAGTATATTAGTAGTATATTAGTAGTATATTAGTAGTATATAAGCAGTATATTCGCAGTATATTAGCAGTATATTAGTAGTATATTAGTAGTATATTAGTAGTATATTAGTAGTATATTAGCAGTATATTAGCAGTATATTAGTAGTATATTAGTAGTATATAAGCAGTATATTAGTAGTATATAAGCAGTATATTAGTAGTATATTAGTAGTATATTAGTAGTATATAAGCAGTATATTAGTAGTATATTAGTAGTATATTAGCAGTATATTAGCAGTATATTAGTAGTATATTAGTAGTATATAAGCAGTATATTAGCAGTATATTAGCAGTATATTGTAGTATATTAGTAGTATATTAGCAGTATATTAGCAGTATATTGTAGTTTATTGTAGTATATTGTAGTTTATTGTAGTATATTAGCAGTATATTAGCAGTATATTAGTAGTATATTAGTAGTATATAAGCAGTATTGTAGTTTATTGTAGTATATTGTAGTTTATCGTGGCGTTCCCCCAGAGTGTAGCCCGTGCCGCGCTCCTGGCCGTGTACCGCGGCTAACGTGCAGTGGCGGGTTGTCTAACATGAGCGAAGTGGATAATGTAATGCTAAATGCAGGAGTGTGAGCAGTCGCAGCCTTTTGTTGGACTTGGAGTGAGCCGTGGTGGGGGCCCCTCTCCTCGGTGGGGGCCCTTCCTTTACGCCGATAAGACAATGCGCCGGAGAAATGTCAGCCTCAATCATGTGGCCAGCGCGGTGATGTCCCGGCCCAACATCTACTACATCCTCACAGAACAACGAGAGAGCGACAGGCACAACTTTTGACGGATATTTTTTTGTCTGGGGGAGAATAAAAAATAAAAAAAGGTGGCAGGCTGCGCGGGGCGGGTGCTAGCCGCAAAGGCACACCATGTTGCGTCGCTGCGTCGGCCATTTTAGATTTGCCACGATTTGTAATGTGAGATCACTGCTTGTCAGAAAGTCATGGCTTCCACAGACGCAAGAGAAGGAGGGACATTTTATTTTGTGCTAAACAGTTTTGGCTCTGTCCTGGTATTTTGTTAGCTAACCTCAGCAAGCCATAATATGCTTTCACTTTCTCTCATGTATTTCCCATGCTGGTTTAAAGCGTACGCGACGATTAGCTTTTTCGCTAACGAGGCACGCCGTTATCGCTAAACGCTAAAGAGCAGAACTAGGCCATAATTAGCGCTAATCGTTAACAATATTTTGCAATAACCGGGACAATGAGACAAAGCCGTCGCACAGATGCAGAGGTCACGGCTTTGACTCAAACACAGCGCAGTGTTTTTAAGGCTTCGTCCTTAATTAAGCACAAACGATGAGACAATAACTCCGCTCATGCCTGAACGGCTCCGGGATCGCAGCCGACCGAGCGGAAGACGGACAATTCTCCAAAGTATCTGGTCTCAGCGTGGGGTCAGCATGTTCCCAAACTTCTCAAACCCCCCCCCAATATAAAAACACTAAAACGTAAATATTAACATCAGAAATGAGCGCCGAACGACAGATTGTGAAACCGTCTCTTTAAATGCTGAATAGTAAATGAAATACTTGCGCAGAAAGAGGAGATTTTAGATGATTTAAATGTTTACCTTGGTGGAGCGGAGTCGGGGGCAGCTGATGACCACTTTCGCCAGCGTAGGATTAAATATCGAGAAGAGAGAAAGGATGCCCCCCCCCCCTCTCGCTGCTGCCCTGGACCCACTCTGCCACGTGATTGGTCGGCTGTGTGTGGCGTCACGGCGAGGGCATCTGCGAGGACCACGTGATCGTTTCATATAATACTGAGAGTTGGTGCATGGATGAGGTCTGGGGTCACGGGGTCGGGCTTAGGCGCTAACTGGGCCGTGTGATGAGGCGGTAACCGGGGGCAACCCCACCCTCAGACCAGCCCTGGCCTCTCTCTGGTACTGTATGGGAGGGGGGGGTCCTGTACCCTCCAGGAGCGGTCCCAGAAGAGACTCTTCTTCTCCTTCTCCTTGTTCTCCTTCTCCTTCTCCTTCTTCTCCTTCTCCTTCTCCTTCTTCTCCTCTCCTTCTCCTTGTTCTTCTTCTCCTTCTCCTTCTCCTTGTTCTTTTTCTCCTTCTCCATGTTCTTCTTCTCCTTCTCCTCCTTCTTCTCCTTGTTCTTCTTCTCCTTCTCCATGTTCTTCTTCTCCTTCTCCTCCTTCTTCTCCTTGTTCTTCTTCTCCTTCTCCTTCTTCTCCTTCTCCTTCTCCTTCTCCTTCTCCTTCTTCTCCTCTCCTTCCTCCTTGTTCTTCTTCTCCTTCTCCTTCTCCTTGTTCTTTTTCTCCTTCTCCATGTTCTTCTTCTCCTTCTCCTCCTTCTTCTCCTTGTTCTTCTTCTCCTTCTCCATGTTCTTCTTCTCCTTCTCCTCCTTCTTCTCCTTGTTCTTCTTCTCCTTCTCCTTGTTCTTCTTCTCCTTCTCCTCCTACTCCTTCTCCTTCTCCTTGTTCTTCTTCTCCTTCTCCTTGTTCTTCTTCTCCTTGTTCTTCTTCTCCTTCTCCTTCTCCTTGTTCCTCTTCTCCTTCTCCTTCTCCTCCTCCTTCTTCTCCTTCTTCCTTCTCCTTCTCCTTGTTCTTCTTCTCCTTCTTCTTCTCCTCCTCCTTCTTCTCCTTCTTCCTTCTCCTTCTCCTTCTTCTCCTTCTCCTTCTCCTTGTTCTTCTTCTCCTTCTTCCTTCTCCTTCTCCTTGTTCTTCTTCTCCTTCTTCTCCTTCTCCTTCTTCCTTCTCCTTCTCCTTGTTCTTCTTCTCCTTCTTCTCCTTCTCCTTCTCCTTCTCCTTGTTCCTCTTCCTTCTTGGCTCCTCTCGATCAGTTTCTGTTCAGAGATTGGACTTGAAGTTTGAAGTTTGGATGATCCCAATTTCCAAAAGGTAAATCCGTGATGTGCTGATGTGAAGCACAGGTCATACACTAAACTCAAAGTGCTTTAAAAACAAGAAAAGAAATGGAAGAAGGCGACAGTGGCTCAGTTGGTAGAGCATTGGCCTTTGAGCCAGAAGGTCGTGGGTTCGAGCCCACCTCAAGACTTTCTCCATCGACTCCCACTGTCTGCTGTCGTTGTGTTAAGACACTTAACCTCTGGGAACAGCCACAGTGGGGCGGCTGTAAAGTGCCAAACTGTGGTTGTGTCCTTAGGGAAGACACTTCCCCCACATTAGAGTGTGTGTGATGGTTGGTGGTGGTGGGAGGGGCCGATGGCACAGACTGGTTGCCTCGCTTCTGTCAGTGTGCCCCAGGGCAGCTGTGGCTACAGTAGTAGTTTATCACCACTGTGTTTGGAGAGAGAGGATAATAATGTGAAGTCTTTGAGTGTCCGATGCATTATTATTATTATTATTATTATTATTATTATTCAAACCATCAATAATCACAGACTTTTGTCCAACCTGGATTTGAACATTGTCAGAGATTAAGTCTGTCTCACATTTTGAGGCAGATTGTTCAAGATTTTAGCTGCATATATCTAAAGCTCTGCCTCCCCATGTCCAGACTTTGAGTCCCTGCAGGAGTCCAGTCCCTGTGCTCCTCAGAGTCCCAGCAGGAGGCCAGTCCCTGTGCTCCTCAGAGTCCCAGCAGGAGTCCAGTCCCTGTGCTCCTCAGAGTCCCAGCAGGAGTCCAGTCCCTGTGCTCCTCAGAGTCCCAGCAGGAGTCCAGTCCCTGTGCTCCTCAGAGTCCCAGCAGGAGAACAGTCCCTGTGCTCCTCAGAGTCCCAGCAGGAGTCCAGTCCCTGTGCTCCTCAGAGTCCCAGCAGGAGTCCAGTCCCTGTGCTCCTCAGAGTCCCAGCAGGAGAACAGTCCCTGTGCTCCTCAGAGTCCCAGCAGGAGTCCAGTCCCTGTGCTCCTCAGAGTCCCAGCAGGAGGCCAGTCCCTGTGCTCCTCAGAGTCCCAGCAGGAGTCCAGTCCCTGTGCTCCTCAGAGTCCCAGCAGGAGTCCAGTCCCTGTGCTCCTCAGAGTCCCAGCAGGAGTCCAGTCCCTGTGCTCCTCAGAGTCCCAGCAGGAGTCCAGTCCCTGTGCTCCTCAGAGTCCCAGCAGGAGTCCAGTCCCTGTGCTCCTCAGAGTCCCAGCAGGAGTCCAGTCCCTGTGCTCCTCAGAGTCCCAGCAGGAGTCCAGTCCCTGTGCTCCCCAGAGTCCCAGCAGGAGAACAGTCCCTGTGCTCCTCAGAGTCCCAGCAGGAGGCCAGTCCCTGTGCTCCTCAGAGTCCCAGCAGGAGGCCAGTCCCTGTGCTCCTCAGAGTCCCAGCAGGAGTCCAGTCCCTGTGCTCCTCAGAGTCCCAGCAGGAGGCCAGTCCCTGTGCTCCTCAGAGTCCCAGCAGGAGACCAGTCCCTGTGCTCCTCAGAGTCCCAGCAGGAGGCCAGTCCCTGTGCTCCTCAGAGTCCCAGCAGGAGGCCAGTCCCTGTGCTCCTCAGAGTCCCAGCAGGAGACCAGTCCCTGTGCTCCTCAGAGTCCCAGCAGGAGGCCAGTCCCTGTGCTCCTCAGAGTCTGACTAGGTTCGAGCGTGGGCATTTCTCTGCTTCTGACACAAAATCTGCCAAACTGACCCTGGAGCTGCAGGTGTCTCGCTCTGGGATGTGCAGGTTTTTCTGCAGTTCTGTAAAAACTGAGCTGGTTCAACAGAGGCTTCAGAAGTCAGGACCTTTCTGGACATGTGAACGCTGTGAGACTGTGAACCAGCCAGCCCTGGGTCTACAGTCTCAGTCCTGGGTCTACAGTCTCAGTCCTGGGTCTACAGCCTCAGTCCTGGGTCTACAGCCTCAGTCCTGGGTCTACAGCCTCAGTCCTGGGTCTACAGCCTCAGTCCTGGGTCTACAGCCTCAGTCCTGGGTCTACAGCCTCAGTCCTGGGTCTACAGCCTCA